AAGTTCTTAGATGTAAACTCTGCAGCATTGTCAAGTCTTATAGACTTGATCGGGTGGTCAGGGTGGTGAGCCCTTAAACGAATTATTTGTGCCAAGAGTTTTGCAAATGCAGCATTTCTTGTTGATAATAATGTAACGTGTGACCAACGTGTCGAGGCATCAACCAGTACCATAAAATACCGAAATGGTCCGCTTTCTGGTTGTATCGGCCCACATATATCTCCTTGTATCCGTTATAGGAATGGTATATTTTCTTTTGAATCTTTTGCATAGGATGGTCGTGATCCTATTTTTGCTAATGAGCAGGCTTTACAAAAGGATTTGTGGGCATGTGACATTGTCAAAAAATTATTTTGAGACGAGGACGATGCTTCAATTTCTTTAGAAGGCATTTGTCGCAGTTGGTCAAGATTGGGCCGACCGCTTTTCAAGCTGTCGGGTTTTTGTGTCGCTTTGTCCTTGCCTCGAAAGAAAGGATGACCGTGAGAGTTTTTTAGGATACGAATCATCATGTCACGACCAGGATGCCCTAGTCGATCATGCCAAAGTCTATATCGTTCAGTATCCCTTATGTCATCATGACTTATAGAATAAGATTCAATTATTCGAATTGTAGTGATATACAGTCCACTACTCTTACCCTTAAACTTCTCTAAGATGCGCTTTCTTCCGCATTCATTAGAAGTAATGTAAAGGTATTCAATACCATCCTCGCAATGAGTTTCAACATGAAAACCATTGTCACGGATGTCTTTGAAACTTAACAACGTTCGAGTAGCTCTAGGTGCATATAGAGCATTTATGGCTTTAATCAATGTACCATTAGGGAGTAAAAAAATGGCAGTACCACGTCTTTGAATTACATGTGACGAACCAATCATTGTTGTCACAGATGAATTATAGGCTACCAAGTTAACAAATAGTTGCCTATTTCGCAAAATGGTATGGGTAGTCCCACTATCTATTAAGCACTCAACTTCACCTCGATTCATGCCTGTGTAATGAAAGTATTGCATATAGAACTGGAACACACAATGCATATAAAAATAGGGGCATAAATCCCTTAACTTATTTAAATTGAATGCAAATTTAAAACAATTCCACATTGTCCAAAAGTGCAATAAATAGTCTTCTAAACACTCCTAGGAAATTGGCAGAAATATAAAAGAAATTATTCAAAAAAAAACATCATGCATGGAGAGAATGAATAGAGTGTATCAATCAAAATCAGGTGTATCCATTGAGTGCACATTATCCCCCTTGTTCGTAAAGTGTGCAAGGGTAAGATTGACATCAGCGTCATTGCCTTCTTCGTCCAAATATTGAGATTCATGCTCTTTAGATTGGGGATATTTCTTGTAGCAAGCTGCAACTTTGTTACTAGCGCGACAATGCTTGTACCAGTGTCCGCTAACTCCACATCGGTAACATGGCTCATTCTTTATCACAGGAGGGTTGGATGCATTTGACTTCTTGTTTGTGTGGCCACTCGGTCCATCATTTGACTCTCTTCGCCAAACATTGAAAGATACTCCACGACCTCTACCACGACCACCATGACCACCACGACCCTTCCCACGATTAGAGTTATTTCCACGTCGAGGTCCCTTTTCATTGGGATGCCTGCCATGTTTTATTTTCCCATAATTGGCTTCAGGAATTTTCTTTGTCCCGACAGGCCGAGCATTGTTATTCACAAGGACTTCATTATGCTTTTCTGCTGATTGCAGCATATTCATCAACTTGTAGAATGTGGTAATTCTTTTGTTTTCATACTCTATCCTGTACTGGTTCGCTAGTATCATGGATGAGGTAGGAAATGTGTCAAGAGTCTTTTGAATCATGTCATCTTCGGTAATTGGCTTACCACAAAAGATGAGACGTGCCTTAAGACGCAACATATCTTTGACAAAGTCATTTGTCCGTTTATAGTCTAGCAAACGGATTTCATTCCATTGCGCATTCAGTTCTGGGAGTAGAGTATCATGAATATTCCCAAAACGTCCCTTAAGGGCATCCCACAGTTCTTTGGGGGTTTTCAACTGAAGATATTTCCAACGTAAACTTGGGTCAATGTGTCGCCTTAGGAACATTAAAGCATTTGCTTTCACTTTTTCAGATGGTGCATCTTTCAATTCACTGGGGTCTTTAAGTGTGGCAGAGAAGTCTTTAGCCACGAAAGCCATTTCTACATCAGAAACCCAACGGTGGTACTCAAGTCCTTATGAGTCCAAGATGTCAAATTCAGGTCTAGTGGGATCAGTCATTTCTAGATAAAATGCAAATAAACAATCATAAGTAAATTGATATCTTGAAATGAGAGTTTTATCATATAATTCATGCTCTCTCCTTTGTGTTTTGTTTTATTTTTTTTAAGGGTAAAATATTTTCATGCACAGAAATACTAGATATGTAATTCAATTATGGCAAATTCAAAAAAAAAACAGTGTATATTTTCAACACAAACCACCCAAATATGATGACAAAAAAAAATCATCCAACTACTGGACTTTTCAATGACCAGCATAAAATATAGGGTAACATGTTATTGAAATTACTATGTGCATATCCAGAAATAAAATACTATGCATTTAAACACGAGTATTAATTATTCATATGCGGGAAAAAAAAATTGTGAAAATTGAAGATGTACACATAATTGCAGAAGTGTAACAAATTAAAAATAGTTTGGACAAATCTCTTTACCCTATGCATTGTAGATTTGTTAGAAAAAAAAAATCATCTTGACACATACTTGAGAAGAACACAAGGCAGGGTAATTATATAACAATAAAAGATTTGATCATGCAGATTGAAAAAAAAAATTGCAAGTTGAAAATGCAGATTGGAAAAAATACAGCATTACATTAAAAATGCAGATTGATAAACTACACCATTTTCCAGATTTAGAAAAATGCAAGTTACAATGCACATAAAATCCCAAAAAAAATGGTCTGTGCCATGATTGGATAAAGTCGGTGATTTTAATCCATTACAATGGGATTAAGATTACAGAAAAAAAATGTAAAATGATTTCAGCTATATACACAACGAATGCAGAGTATTGAATATTTCATAAGAAGAATGAACTACACCATATGCATCTTAATTCAATTGCAATAGGATTGGGTTTCGGCTATATCAAATTTACTGCCAGTATTGAAAAATGAACGACACCAATCTTAAAATTATTTCATCAATATCACATAGAGATCACAAAAAACAGCAAATTGGGTTTATGTGATCAGGATTTAAGAGCGCAAATATGCATCTTAATTCAATTGCAATAATTAAATTGGGGAAAACCTGGACCGTAGGTGCGAGATTTCGGTGCGACGGGAAGGAGGCCGCCGTTGCTGTGTGATCAATGGAGATTTAGGGGAGACGGGAAGAAAGCTCCGATTGACGGAGATTTCTGGTGCTGGTTCTTCCGATTTGGCCCACGCGGTCGTCTGCGCCTCACGATCGGGAAGAAGGCTTCTCCTTCAGATTTGATTCGCGATGGGGAATCGCAGAGGAGAACGGCGATGCGATGCACAGCGTCGAAAAAAAAAATTAGGGTTGAGCAAGTGCCGTGTTGTGGGAGATGTGTCTTAATAGCTTCCTTATATAGGGAAGAGCTTCGTAGGGTTTTACAAGAGAAGGCCCATAGGCCAGTACAACTTATTACACAATATAAAGTAAATTCTATCTACACAACAGCACACTAATTTACAAATTCCTTCAGCAGATTTAGAATTGATAGTGCAAAAAATAAATTGGATTTGGAGAATTTAATTTGATCGAAATCAATTTCATTAAATTTCAACTTCCAATTCAATTCATATTTCATCAATTTCATGTACCAAACGAATCCATAGGATTCGTTTGGTACATGAAATTGACGCAATTAGAATTGAATTGGGAGTTGAATATGGAATTGAATTCTTCAATTTCAGTTCATTTTCGGCATTATCGGCCAATTCCAAATTCACATATATATGAGGTACTAAACAACATGATTGGAATTGCTATCCCCGCTTTATCAATTTCATAGTTTGAAAATTGCATATTAAATGTGGTCTAAATTTACGTTATACGGGGTAATTAAATATATACTCCCTCCATCCCAAAAAGATTTACACCTTTCAAAAAATTGCGTCCCACAATCTCCTACCCATTTCTATTAAAAAACCACTTTTACCCCTTACTTTTTCAAACCCTACCTATCACATCATACCTTTTTCCTAATAATCTACACATCTCATCCTACTTTTACCCATCACATCAAGGGTATTTTTGGAAAGTCAACACAAAATTATCCCTCACTTAATTTCAACTTTAGTCAAAACGTGTAAATCTTTTTGGGACGGAGGTACTATTTTTCTTAGGTCAAAGTTTATCTAGAACTCAACCCAGGACAAATTAATTGTGAGGAAGGGAGTAAAACTGTAAAACAATAATCTTGAACGACCGAATTAAAAATGAAAATTTATTGTAAAAAAATAGAGGACTTTTTCCACTTTGACTGTTTGAGGTCAACTTTGATTTGTGATGTTCTTTTCCATTTCAATCTTGAACGACCGTAGTAAAACTCTTTACGGTTTAAGTTTTTGGTCAAGTTTTATAAAATTTAACAAATTAAGGAGTATAAAAAAGGTATATTTAGCTATTATGTAAGTTTAATATCTCATCATCTCAAAAATTCCTTCCCCTTTCTATCTTTAATTGTCCCACAAAATCCTCTACATTTGTACTAAAAAAAACTTTTACTCATACCAATTCTTAAATTATCTATCACATCATACTTTTTTAGTAATAATCTTCACATCAGATCCTACTTTTATGCATCATACCAAGAGTATTTTTGAAAAGTCAATACAAAAATATTTCTTTCATAAATTTTCTAAAAGTCAAAATGAGAACATTTTTTTGAGAGGGAAGAATTATAAATTATTACGGAGTATTATTACATTTATTAGTAGTTACTCCCTATTGTTATTGTTATAATTAGTGCAACATTATTATTATTATTACTATTATTATTATTATTATTATTATTATTATTATTATAATTATAATTATTAATTGGTTAGGCACCTGGAACATGGAGATGGATGCTTGGAGTGGCATGTCTCCCAGCTCTGATTCAGTTCATACTCATGCTGCTTCTCCCCGAGTCGCCCCGGTGGCTCTACCGCAAGGGCCGAGAAAGCGAGGCCGAGGCCATACTAAGCAAGTTGTACTCCACAGATGAACTGGAAATGGAAATCCAAGCACTCAAAGAATCAATCCAAAACGAGAGCTCATCAGGAGATAATCATCATCAGAAGAAGGTGAACGTGGTGACCCTCCTGCAATCCACGGCGGTGCGGAGGGGGCTCATCGCCGGCGTCGGCCTCCAAGTCTTCCAGCAGTTCGTCGGCATCAACACCGTCATGTACTACAGCCCCACCATCGTGCAGCTCGCCGGCTTCGCCTCCAACCGCACCGCCCTCCTCCTCTCCCTCGTCACCGCTGGCCTCAACGCCCTCGGCTCCGTCGTAAGCATTTTCTTCATCGACCGGACCGGAAGGAAGAAGCTCCTCGTCGTTAGCCTCGTCGGCGTCGCGGTCTCTCTCGGCTTCCTCACCGCTGTCTTCCACGAGGCCGCATCCCGTTCCCCCGCCGTGAGCGTCACCGACACCTCCCGCTTCAACGGGTCGTCCCTCGCTTGCCCCTCGCACCCCGGGAAATGGGACTGCGCCGAGTGCCTGAGGGGCTCGTGCGGGTTCTGCGCTTCGTCTGCGGGAAAGATGCTCCCCGGCGCGTGCTTGGCCGAGGGCGACGCGGCGAAGGGCGCGTGCCGCGGGGAGCGGAGGTTGTGGTACACGAGGGGGTGCCCGAGCCGCTTCGGGTGGCTGGCGCTGGTCGGCATGGCGTTGTACATCATCTTCTTCTCCCCGGGGATGGGGACCGTCCCGTGGATCGTCAACTCCGAGATATACCCCCTGAGGCTCAGAGGCGTGTGCGGGGGGATAGCCGCGACGGCGTGTTGGGTTTCGAACCTCATCGTCGCGCAGTCGTTCCTGTCCCTGACTCGCGCCATCGGGACCTCGTGGACGTTCCTCGCCTTCGGGGTGATTTCGGTTTTCGGGCTGTTGTTCGTCCTCGTTTGTGTGCCGGAGACGAAGGGGCTCCACATCGAGGACATCGAGAAGATGTTGGAGGGAAGAGCGTTACACTTGAAATTCTGGAACAATGGGGCGGCCCCAAAGAAGCCGCCCCATGGTGATGTGGAAACGTAATGTGATGAATTATGGGATCGGGATACGGAGACACTTCGAGCGATCTCAGACACCAATAAAGTATGAGAGAATAACACGAGAATCAATGGGGGTAATTTTTCCCATTGGTGCATCTGTTGAGAATGGCCCTTTATTATTAAATGTTTCTGGGTCAAGTTTCATAGATTCAAAATGGCAATTTAAACACCAAAGTTCATCAAATTCAGTGTTTAAATTGGTTATATTATATGTAACAAAGTATAGATTTAAAATTTTGATTTGTTTATGCATATACGATATACCTCTCTGTTAGACAATCACTCTTATGGTGTATGCACTGCTATTTTGGATGTTCTCAAATTATTTGTCAATTGTTGTCCTAGTTTGATTTTATAGTTATTCTAACATCAACTTAAACATAATTTTCTAATAAAGTAATCCACAATGAATACCAAAACTAAATGTTAACACGATTTTATAGTTATTCTAATACTCCTTTTAATGGAAAAACTGATATTAGTATTTGGAAACAAAAATTGAAGTGTGTTCTCGTTCATCAAAAAGTTTATAGGACTGTTACTGATTCATATTTAGAAACAGACACTAAAGAGAAAAGAATTGAAATGAATGAAATTGCTTGTTCTATAATTTACTCTGACTTGTGATTAGAAAAGTTAGTATTTTGGAATTTGCTAAAGATCTTTGGAATAAACTTGATGAACTTTATAATGAAACTTCTTTGTCATATAAGATTTTCTTACTTGAAAAATTTTTCAAGTTTAGATTGGATATGTCTAAAGACATAGAAGAAAATCTAGATGTTTTCACCATACGGATTCCTGATATTAAATTAATCGGTGATAAACATATTGATGACTACAATGACTTCACCCCCATTGCTTTTTTGAATGTTATTCCTAATTCTTACTGTGATGTCAAATCTCTAATTATATATGGTAGAGATAATATTTCTCATGATGTTGTTGTGAATGGTCTCAAGAGAGTAAGGAATTAGAATTATTTTTTTTAAAATTTACTTTTATATATATATATATATATATATATATTAATTTTTTTTTTTATATAATATTATTGGAATGGTCGATTACAAATATATATATATATATATATATATATATATATAGATATAGGGGACGGTTTATGTGAGAATGATGTTTAGTGAAAGAAATAAGAATGAAGGATTGTCGTTGGATTGAGAAAATCATACGGCCAGGATGTGGGCGTTATCTTTTACTACCTCCGTCCCGCTATATTCGTCCATTTTTGACTTTTGGAACTGTTCATCTAAGCACTTTGACTCATCAAATTCTCTCAATGTGTAAGCCTAAATATAGTCATGTGTGATCTTGTTTGATTTGTCTTAACATATAGATTATTAATATATAATTTCTATAATATTTTAATATACAAATTACAAGATAAAATAGATTAAAGAAGTATATTGGATGGTGTGTAAAAATGAAAGTGGACAAATACTCTGGGACGGAGGAAGTATTAAAAAACTAACTTTAGAAGGAAAGTTAGGGCATCTAATTAAGGTGAAATAGTTGGGAAGGGTATTATAGTAATCTCATTTTGCTTTTTTTAAACGTGCTTTGAGAATAGAATATCCCACTACCCCTTGCTTCACGCATACTACCCCATTTGTGCTCCAATATTCATCATATTATTCATATTCCTGCTTTTTTAAAAAAAATTTGTTATCAATAGGACTCATGATATGCACGAGATATGAGGTTGTATGTGTTTTTAATTTATATAATTATTTATTGTGATTAAATTGAATTAATCTGATGATATCTTAATATTTTTGTGTTGATGCAGTGTGTATTCTAAAAAATGCAAAGTTTACCTCTAAAATGTTAAGACCCATTGCGATACCGAATGTACACTGATAGTCTATATATTCATTGTAATTTGTCATTTATAATTAATTTAAATTTTATTCTATTAATTTGTGGCCGGATTGATGAATAACAACATCTAAGTAACTTTGTATGTGATGAGAAAGTTTGAAAATGCATTGTATTTAGACCAAATGTAATATAAGTTTTAGAAATAATTTGCCTATGTGGGATTCGAACCCATATCCATACATCATACCGCTCTACCATTTGAGCTAACAGGCAACAATTTATTTTTCAAAGACTCTCCTTACTTGCACTCGGACCTATACCTATTTTAATTATTTAAAATTTTCATCATTTGTGTTTCCAAGTCATATTCAAATGTATCATAGGAAATTTTAAATGCATCATTTTTTATAGAAAATTCACTATGCATAGAGTACAGATGCATCAAGTCTGTGTCGGGAAAATTTCACCATCAAAAGCATTCAATTTGATTTTGTTTGTGTGCAATAAGAGAATGTACGTATTATCCTTTAGCTTGAATCTTGAATGCATTGTCTTCTCATGAAAATGCATTTTCATGATTCCAATAATGCACAATAATACAAAAACAAATATAAAGTAAACAAGAAAAACAAAATAAAAGCATTAATGTACAGTTGTACACCCCACTAAAATCCAAACTCTCCAGCCATATTTTCAAGGTCAAAATTTTCCACAAGTAGAAGAGGTAAAAGAAAAAAAAAGTAAAAAAAAAAAAGCAACAATGTGAATATACAGAATTAACTGGTGTGGTGGTATATGCAAAACAGAGACCAAAAATGCATCAAACTCAAGACTATGATGCATGCAAAAAGAATATAAGGCCAATGTGATTTAACACCAAATTGACATGGAGAAGAATGTTGGGATTTTAAGCCCGTAAGATACCGAAAAATATTGAGAACACCAGAAAAATGAGAGAACAAACACAAAAAGAATATATGAGAGAAAAAATTATATTTCCACTATTTCAGGACAATATACAAAAAACTCTCCCCTGTTTACAAGACTAAATTTCAGACACTCATAAACAGATCTTTCCACATCCTATGCCCGGATGTATTTTTCCGAGTAACTAAAACCAGTAACTCCCTACACTCACCCACACTCACCAAGACCCCTTGGATTTTCCCGGTGGTATTCTTGTGTAGAACCCTCTTCCTCTTCTCTCTCTACCTTGGTGT